AATTAGATTATCTCTAATCTCCTTTCCAGCTCGGACATTCTGTGAATCTGAGTAGAGAAGTTAGATCATTAAATTCAAATAAAGAAATAATATGGGATAGTGCAGATGACACCAGCCTGAGATTTAGGAGACTGGAGTCCTAGATCTGCCTCTGCTACTAACTCATTATGTGATTTTGGGCAAGTCATTGAGACCTATTCTGGACCTCAGTTTCCCAATGAGTAAAATTGTTGTCCCTAAGAAATCTTCTGGTTCTAAAATCCTATAAACAGGGGATACCTCCCAGGAATTTGGAGTCATCTCTGCCCTGAGACAATTTTCTAGCTATTGTGAGTAGTGGCAGAAAGAACTCTGGATTCAATGTCAAGAGAAAGAGGGTTCTGGTCCCATCTCTACCTCCAACTAGTTGTGTGACCAGTAAAGAGTTATTTCTTCTCTCTAAGCCTCAGTATCTTTTCTCACGAATCAAAATGAGACTAATTAATCCCCCTGTTTATGTCATAGGCTGAGGAGTAAAAGAGGAAAGGGATACAAAAGTTCTTTCAAAATGCTACAAATTCAAGATGGGGAAAACCATCTGAGGAGATAGCCTGAGCTTTAATTCATACCCCTCTCACACTTGCTCTTGGACTCCAGGGTATTTGAAGAGGTTGCCTTGGCAACAATCCTGGTCTTGGAGTCAAGAGCCATAAGCATGAGACTCAACAGCTGTGTGACCCTGAGCAAGCCATTTTACTTTTACAGATCTGTTCCCTCATTTATAATTTATAATTTGGGGCTAGGCATCATTATCTGCTTCATAGGGCTGTTGGGAGACAGAAGTCTGATAAACTATAAAGCACCTTAAGAAAGGTAATGGTCTCCAAGATAAGAGGGAATTATACTTCTTACACTCCCAGATACAGAAATGGATTAAAAAAAAAAAAACCTTTTAGGAGAGAGATTGGGTATATGTATACCCTCCCTGATAGAGGGAGAACTGAGCCACACCCATAATCATGGGGTTAACATCCTGTGCCAATGACTGATTTCAGACAAAACTTGAAGCTATTAAAACTGGTAAAACAGGTTAATCTGAATGCCACTCTAGAAGTTTCTGGGTTCCTGAATAGGGGCTAAGTACTTTTTTTTTTTTTTAACAAATATTATCTCATTTGATCCTCACAAAACCCCTGAGAGGTAGATGCTAATCTTATCCTCATTATACAGCTGAGGAAACTGAGGCAAACAGAGATTAATTGACTTGTCTAGGATCTCACAACTAGTAAGTGTTTGAAGCTGGGTTTGAACTCCAAGCTTAGTGTACTCTCCACTTCGACACCAGCTGCCTCTTGAATATCAACAATCAAAGACCATCAGAATTAGAAGAGCCTGTAGAACATAGAATATCAGAGTTGGTCCCAGAGATCATAAGACCCAATCTCATCATTTTACAGAGGAGAGAACTGAGGCCCAAGACCTCTAAATTCCATTAGAGATCTTTCCAAGAGTCTCATCTCTTAAACATTTAAGGCCCCTTGCAGCTCCAGGTTATATCTAGCTCTAAATCCTATGAACTCACTGATAAGCCCTGAGGAGAGATGGAGAAAGGGATGAGTGGATTTCAGGGAGACAGGAATCTGCTATGAGAAGAAGCATTTACCACATGAGGATGAAGAGTATATTCTGTTTTGTTTTGTTTTGTTTTTTATCCAGCAGGTCCCTTGGTGCTGTTCTTTCTAACACTTGTAGGGGCCACAGCATTTCGGGAATGGCTGAACAAGTTATGGAAAGTAATGAAGGGAATGGTTTCAGAGAGACGTGGGAAGATTTGTATGAACTAATACAGAGTGAAACGAGTAGAATCAAGAGAACAATGTACGCGATATTAACACTATTATAAAGACAAATGTATTTGAAAGACTTAAGAGCTCTGACCAAGGAAAAGGCCATTCATAATTCCAGAGGATTCATAATGAAATATGCTGCCAGCCTTCTCATGGAGAGTTGATGGAATCAGAGTGCAGATTGAGGCAGATTCTTTTCTTGTTGTTGTTTTGGACGTGGCCAATGTGGGGATTTGTTTTGTTTGACTATACGTAATGTTTTGCTCGACTAGACATAATGTTTGTAACAGGGTTCTTGTTTTTCTTTCCTTAATGGAAGGGTGAAGGGGAAGTAGGAGGGAGAGAATGTGGATCTTTGTAAAAATAAAATTAAGTTGAATTTTAAAATAAAACAAGCAAACAAAAAACCCGTAAGGACCAAGGGCCTTGTCATTACCTCCTGAGTGCCTCAGGATTGGTGGAGAGAAACAACAGCAGTTTCCTCTATAGAGCAGAGGGGTTACCCAGAGATACCTGCCAAGTATTTGATATAGAGGATCACAGAACCACAAGCCCTCTCAGTAGTCACATTGTGATTGGAGGAAGGGTGGCTATCAATGGCTCAAATCAGGACCATGAATAATACAGCACTGGGCTTACCATTTGTGGGACTAAGCAAGATCACTTCTTTAAAATGTCCCTCATTGCTAATCAGGAAAGAGAAATCATAAGAGATTTATTAAGGTTGAACTGTTTACATTCCTGCA